GCATTCATGTATTTTGTGGTCAACCTTTAGAGTTTTTGATCTCTTATAGATCTAGAGACTCAATTCTCTTAAATGGTGCATAGCTAGGCCTACGTTTCACATGTTCAAATCATTTCAAATAGCCTTCTCTCATCGTTTCCTCAATTTGGACAACCCCTAATTTTTTTCGAATCTCTTTATTTTTTATTTTGTCTATTCTAGTATTACCATACATCTATCTAAGCATCTTTATTTTTACTACGTTCATTTTCTTCTCAAAGAAAAAGTTTAAATATAAATAACTTAAAAGTATGAGTAAATACTCTTAATTTACTATCAATAGTTTAGCAAGTATGAGTAAATATAAATATATGCTAGATGATACAATTTGTAAGGAAGAAAAAGAAATCAGAAAAAGTTCAAATATAACAACAATACATTAAGTCTTATATCTTATACTCTGGGATCAATTGTTTAAAAGACCAAAAAAGGAAATTATGTTAGGTTGTACTTTGAATCTTCTTGCACCATTTATTTCTATCAACAACAACCTTGTCATCTAATTTCTTAACCATTATATCATTTTTTATTATTTGCATTCATGTATTTTGTGGTCAACCTTTAGAGTTTTTGATCTCTTATAGATCTAGAGACTCAATTCTCTTAAATGGTGCATAGTTAGGCCTATGTTTCACATGTTCAAATCATTTCAAATAGCCTTCTCTCATCGTTTCCTCAATTTGGACAACCCCTAATTTTTTTCGAATCTCTTTATTTTTTATTTTGTCTATTCTAGTATTACCATACATCTATCTAAGCATCTTTATTTTTACTACGTTCATTTTCTTCTCAAAGAAAAAGTTTAAATATAAATAACTTAAAAGTATGAGTAAATACTCTTAATTTACTATCAATAGTTTAGCAAGTAATAATAAGTTTAAATCATAACTTTTTGTACTAATGCAAGTATTAAAACTAAATAATAAATATATACAATATATATTAAGTCAATATTTCTAAAATATTCTCAAAATTGTTTAGTTCATGATAAAATAGTACATATTAAGATAAGTTTTATTGATGATTTGATTAAATTATTAATGTATGTGCTTTCATATCTGTTAACAAAATACATTGCATATAAAAAGATTGAAAATTTTGAAGTGCTCTATCATTAATGGAAGTAATAAACTTTACATATATTTCTATTTTAAAGTATATAATTTTGAGTAAAAATTTTGTTATATATATGATAAAAGTAATGAGAACAAATTTATTAAATAAAATTTATAAAAATTAAACAAGCAATAATTTTTAAAAAATATTAAATTCACAATAATTATCTTTGTATTCCTCATAAAAAATTTCTTCTATTGAACAAAAACATGATATATTTTTAATTGTTTCTTTATTTTTATAATTGTAATTCAATAAGATTTTTTTATATTTTGATGTCAATCAACTTCTTTATTTGAAAAGAGTAAAAAATAATATAAGGTGTCATAACAACTTAAAAAATGTTTAACTCTATATTATCTTCTTAAATGAGTATGAATTACGATATCTCTTTAAATGAAATATTTGAATTGTTTTTTCAACCCATATAATAGCAATTTGATCAACATATGAGTAATTATAAACTCATTAATTTAGATTAATATTTTTGTAATAAGAATTTTAAAATTCTAAAAAAAAGATATATCATTTAATCTCTTTGTAAGATTTGGATATAAAATTTTTTTTCTAGAATTAGTATTAGTATCTTTATCACTTTTGCACTTAAATTTTTATTGTATTGTGTTCTTATTCTGTTTGACAATTTATTACTAGTACATAAAATTATAACTAAAACAATATGAATTGATAAATTCAAATTTGAAACAATTCAAAACTCAAATTGAGTATAAATAAATTTTTTACTCATTTTAAATTTTAATTTAATTAAAAATAATATAATATACATACTTATAAAAATAAACTAACTTAACTTGATTTCAATTTATTTTAAAAAGTAACAACTTAGTAATTATTTAAAACTCAAAATTATTGAACATAACCAAAATCCGAATTGAAATAGTAACCCAATCAAAATCTAGTATTTCTTATTTATCTTTTATTACAATTTAAAAATTTCTTATTTAAAACTTTTTTCCTTTCATCTTCAATATCTTATTTTTATTATTTTTATGGTTGAATTAATTAATTAATTTGAAGAGTATTTCTAAAATAAAATTGTAATTATAAGTAATTGAATTTATTTCTTTTTATTTGATTTAAGACAATTTGAATCCAGCTTTTGAAACAAAGAAAAGTATGCACCAATTATTGAGTCAAATTTACATAACTGCATAAGTGAATGAGTACATTATTAATAGAAGTAGATAATAAAACTTGATTTGACCTAATTGGTCACTGATTCTAAATCTAAAATCCAACTTGAAATTATGAAAAGTCAAAATTTAAAATAATTAAAATATTAAATACACAATTAAATAAAGATTTATCAAATGAATTTTACTAATGAATGCCTTTGAATCACTTTTAAGTTTAGTTAAATAATAATTTATAATAATATTTTTATGTTAAATGTAATAGTGATAATTAATTTGATGAATTTCAATTATTTTCAACAAATATTACTTAATATGGCAACCTTAAAAGTTTTGATATAACGGTGAATATTTTTCAACTAACATAAAAGAGAAAATGGATGACTATATAATGTTTTTCCAAATAAAAGAGTTTCATATTAATTATAAAGATATTTAAAATCAATATATTAGTATATTTTTTATTGAAACATTATATAACATTATCATTCTTTGTCATATGAAGAAAATAGAGTTATACATAACTAATCAATCTTTTGTCTCATTTTTCTATTTAAGATAATCATGGATCGGTGTTTCAATCAATTGAATGTAATTGTACATTATGTCAATTAAAAACTTAAATTTTCTTTTACTTAAAAATTTTATTATACATAAATTTTGAGTATATAAAAATAGTTAAATACATAATTTTTAGAATCAAAATAAAACAAAATAAATTCTTAACCTTGATACTTGTCATGTTCTCTTAAGAAAATTTCAATTCTAAGAATAACAAACTTGTTCTGCTATACTTATACAATTTATAATGATTTTATTTTTAGTAGTACAAATATAAATTTTCATAAATGAATGTAACTTTGGTATAAACACATTAAAAAAATAGTTCCAATTAGTTTCAATGAATTTTGTCACACCTCAACAAAATTCATCAAAAATAATTAATTTTACTTCATTTATAATTTTTTACTTAGAATAATTCATATTAGATTGTTTAACCATCTGAATGATAAAAAAGTAAGCATTTTAATACAATTGAGAAATATTAAATAATCTTGATATATAAATTAATCATATATATATGCATGTTAAGATAAAAATTGAGAAAAAATTAAATTAATTATTGTTTCAATTAAAATGAATAATTCTTATGACAATTTGATGAGATCCAATTCTGATCGCCTCTTGAATCATCTAACTCTACATGTAGAAAGTCTAATTAAAGTGTTCAATGAATCACATAGTACTAATTTTGGGTAAAAGGGGTGCAATCAATTTGATATTAGTTTTTATTCTTTGGAATAACAATTATAAAATTTTAGAAAAAAAATACAAAAGAGAAATTAATTATAGAAGTCAGATTAAATTGTAAGAATGATATATTAAAAAATTGTTTAAAGGGAGTAAAAAAATTTAATTATGTTATTAATGATCAAATGATTAACTCATAAAACATATAAATAATAAAATCATTAACATATATATATAGTTAATATATTAAAAAAAAATTGATAGGCAAAAACTAGAAAAAATAAATATACTTAAATGATTTAACTATAATTATCTTTAATGAATTTATTGATCAACATAAATTACATATAGAATTGCTTTTTCAACAATTAAATAAATAAATTTCATACACATTAAATTTTATCTTATTCTATTTGTATTTTTATTTGATGTGAAAAATCGTTCTACTAATACAAAGAAGTCTAATAATAATAAAAAAATCATTTAAATTAAATTTTATAAAAAAAAATTACTAATGGTATTTTAATCAATCACTTTTAAAATTTTTTAGAAATAAAATTTTATTAAAAGTATTTTAATCAATCTCTTTTTTAGTCTAATAATAAAAAAATATTTAAAATTTATAAAAACATTTATTAAGTATATTTTAGTCAATCACTTTTAGTAATTTTAGAATTAAAATTTTAAAATTTTAGGTAATTTAATTTCACATAAACTCTTTTTTTTTTTAATTTTAGTTGATTTAAATTAAACTTAAATAAATTAATAAAAATTATATATTTAAGGATAAATTTATTTATTTAAAAATTTATAAAAATATTTAGGTTGATCACTATTAATATTTTTGAAATTTATACTTTTATATATAGATAATATTATGAACTAAAATTCGACCAGGCATAATTCTCTACATAGTTTTGTTTGCCATGTGATAGATGAAGTATAATTTTTGTTGTTCTTTCTTCTTTCTTTTTTCACTTCTATGCTTTTATCATTTTCCTTCTTAACCTTGTCATTCCTTCTTCCTTTGTTGTGATGCAAATAGGCTAGATTTGACCCATTCAGGCATTGCTTTGACACGAAGATGTCAGTTCATGGAGGAAGTGTTTATGAGTTGGACTCGGATTAAATTAATCATGATTTTAATTAATATTTAAAAAATTTTCTATTAAAATTTTATAATTATTTAATTATAGTAAAAATTTATGTATAAATCTATCGTTTATAAGGATAAATTTTATAATTTTAAATTATAATTAATCGATTATAATGCAATGATTGCATGTGCTTAGGGATATGCTTCCCTCATGCCGTTTAATTTTTATTTATCTTATATATGCAGCGCAGCATGCATGCCTTGCAAGGCAGGCTATGGCCCTATGGTTCCTTTGACCCTTGTCGCTAACCCCTTGTTAGGCCTTTTGTAGGATGGGCTGGAAAAAATTGAGCGAGCCCAAATGCCATCAATGAAGCAAATTAAAGAAGACATTGGTGGCAAAGGCATCTGTAGTGGCAGAAGCAAAGAGCAAAGAGAGAAATGGATGGGGTGAAGCAACTAGCGCTTCCAGTGCTGGGAATTGTAGCAGCAGCTGCTGTTACCTTTTATGTCGTTAGCTTTTCTGAGCTAAGAGAGGTACCTACCTTTCCCCTTTTTTTTTTTTTCTGTTCTTTTTTCCTTGACTATTAGTTTCATCTGTTTGTTTATTTTTGTTGAACAAATTATTTGACTATATTTTGTAAACGTACAGAAATCATTTAGAGATTTAGAAGCTTCAAAGTATGAAAACGGAGGATTCGATTCTTCTCTAAGCTCTAGGAAAAGGCGTGCTAGAAGAAAAGCAGAGAAAGATGCCAAAACTTGACTCTAGTTTCACTAATGCAAAATTGCTTTTGCTTTTTATTTGTAAATTTTACAATTGCTTAATGGGATTCGAACAACCATGCCCTTTTTACATCAAAACAGACTTGATTTGGTTACTGTAAGTTGTATAATCCACACTCCAAGTATCTGTTAGTTTTATTTACTTTCAATGTTAGATGAAGCGCATCCATCACTAACACAATTTATAATTAAAGTAAAAATTGATTTAGATGTAGGCAAGAGTTTAATTTTATTAAATTCAAAATAAAAAAATTGGGGTCTGTGTCTTGTGCTTTCTGATGTCATCTTTCGGATTTTAATCCATGATCTATAGAGCAAGAGAAGAGAAAATTGCTATTTACTTCTCAAATTAAAGTTACGAAATCTAATAGATCGATGAATATATAAAGTTGAGAATTCTCTTAATATGTTAGTTAAAATTGATTCGTCCTAGTAAAGAGGTAAATATAGAATTAAATCTGAATTACATTTAACAATAATCATATTTTAAATTTGGATATATTATAACTTGATATTACAATAATTACTTATTAATTGATATTAATTAATATAATAAAATATTATTTACATTATTAATACTTACTAATCATCATATAAGTACCACCGATATGAGATAAATACAAAATTTACTACATTATTAATAATCATGATAATTTTAGATATTTTAGATATGATACGAAAATAATGTAAAAAACCTAAAAGTATTATTATTTAAAATTGACAAAAACTGTATATGAATTTGCAAAAATTATGTCGTAAAAATTTTCATATTTTTTCATGTTATTAGAAATAAAAAAGACTTAAAAACATAAATTATTAAGTCTACTAATCGGTTAACAAATGCATTTTGTAACCCATCCTCAAGTCTTATTGTTATTCAGCACAAACACTAGATAAAACGCTTCTATGTCATGGGTCATAAATCTAATTTCTAAACTAAAACCCAAGACAAAATTGATGTTTCTCAGCCGAAAGTTTCCCTGGGGTTACCAAAAGAAGCACCGTCATTCCTCGATTATTTAGGAAACTTTGAGTCTTGGACTGATCAACCTAAACAATCTAGTGAGGCTGTTCTCTGGACATAAGTTGATGTGTCCGATTAATGTTCACACAAATCTGTTGGCCTCACCTATCTAATTTTAGTAGTAATAAGCTGTTGAACTCTGCTTTTCTACAGCCATAATAATGATTAATGACCAAATAGCTGGGTTGAGCAGACAGAGATCCCAAGTAAACTAATACCTGTGTTGTGTCTATAAGATGGGGAAAAACAAGAAACAAAGTAAACTAGAAGAAACATACAACGGCATAACAAAATAGAAAAAGTTGCTTTGTTAAGGCACCGGATATCTCACAAGTAACATGTCATGAGTAAAAGTGTGAATAGCTTTCGCTTCGCATGAAGCATACATAATTTTCACCATCATCAACAAAAACAGCTCACTGTTTCTTCTGCTCGGACTTGAGTTCCTTCACCCTCTCCTCAGTCTCCTTCAATGCTTTCCCGTATATGCTTATTAACTGCAGAAGGTAATGAGTTCCAACGTTATGCTTGAATTGAGAGCAATGGAGAAAAGGAAAGTAGAGACAAGTCATTAAATTTCTCCCATTTTAATATCAAAATTAAGAAAAAAGTGAAAAAAGGGAACTTAAGAACCTCTCAAATCTTTAGAATTTATAGACAATTCAGCAGATAGAAGCAACATCTTTAAACTTTACCTCATCAACCTCTTTAGGAGTCATTATAAATGGTGGAGACATCATTATGTTGTCACCTGCAACACGTACTAGCATCCCATGCTTCTCGCATTGCGCTCCAAAATATGCACCAATTCCTGTGGAGAAACTCATCAATAATTTGTTAATAGGAACACAAAAATAGAAAGCCATCAAGATTCATACTCAAGTGCCTTTATAATAAACCGGCAACTCAAATCCCTAAGCATGCAGATAAGAAAAATAATTAGTTTTCTCACAAAGAGTAAATAGTAATTAGAAAGCAGAACTTGCCCCATTCAGGAGGGAATGGATCATTAGGTGACTTATTGTCTGCAAACTCTGTGCCAAGAATCAAGCCAGTACCCCTGATCTGCAGAATCAGAGAAGGATTACAATTTAATGCCTCATGGTTACTAAATATCAACTGTATAAAATGGCTACTTCAAATGCATAATGTACCTCTCCAATGATAGGACTGTCAGAAAAGGATTTTACGCCATCTTGAAACCTTGGAGAAATGCCCTTCACTTTCTCAACAATGTTTCTCTCCCTGCAAGGATGTGAAATAGAATTCCCTAAGTATTGGACGCAAAATAAGAAAATGTCCAATAACTTTTGCGGGTTAATTGACTAAATAGTGAATTGCAAAGTGAGCCTTAGAATGGCTTTATCTAGAATGACTTTTTAACCAGTAAACAACTTGAACGAATAAGCTTGGTAACCTTTTCATTATGGTATTCCTTGGTTGGTATTTGCGTTACCCATATGCCTTCAAGATAACACAAAGCTTTGACCTATTGTTATTTATTCTTAGGATGAGCCAAGTGCATCTAAGATAACTTAAGGTTTCAACCCAATACTTACTCCAAGATACTTGGCATTGAATTCAACTACTCCACAAAAAATAAACTTTCATGCTTACAAACTAGACAATTTGAAATTATGCGATATTTTCTATTTAGAGGCAGGATGGAACACACTTGTAGAGCTTGAGTGCTTCAATTGCGACAGCACAGGATACAGGGTGCCCAGAGTAGGTGAATCCATGAGAGAAAGTACCTGAAATTAGGAAATTAGACGAGGCACTAAAAAATGAATGTACATATACATGCCCTTTACCGAATAGCATTAACATACCAAGTTTGTTGCTTTGAGAATAAATGACATCTGAAACTTCAGGGCTCACCATAACTGCTCCGATTGGCATATATCCTGAAGAAAGGGCCTGCGAAACACAATACCAGCATATGCAGAAAAATGAGAATTATCTGAGGGTCCAAGCCTATTTTACGGGAGCATTTCACCTACAATTCTCTATACTACAGTCCTTAATTAATCAATCTCAATAAAGAATTATATAGGGCCACCACTTTAAAGTATGGGTTCTATAGAATTTTTTTATGGACCCTACACAATGTTGAATTATAATTGGTTAATTGCATTGCAATAATTGTAGGTGACATTCTTCCCTATTTTACACGTGAATATTTTGTTACAACTTCACCTTTGCTATTGAAACAAGATCTGGTTTAATATTGTATTTGTCACATCCAAACATTGTCCCAAGCCTTCCAAATGCGCAAATAACCTAAAGCAAGCACAAAAGTGCACTTAGACCAAACAAATGAAAGGCTTCTCAAACCATTGATGGTAATATTAATATGGACACAGGAATAGCCAAATACCTCATCTGCAATAAATAGTATGTCGTATTTTTTCACAACAGCTTGTATCTGCATGATATTTGAAATGCTACATTAGTAAAAACTGCAGAAAAGCTTTGAAAGACATTGCATCTAAACTAACAGAAAGCCAACACAAACATTTATGATATTGTCCAAATGCCACAAAACCACAACTTTGCCTATTTTGCAACATAGAAGCGTCATAATCAAGAAGCTAACTGACTCCAGAGATTATAAACTTCAACACTATTTCAAAAATACTCAGTAAAACTGGTTTTCTTATTGTTCCAGAGAAAGGGCTATAGACAGCTTGAAGTACCATACAAGAACTTTGAGGCTTGCCTCATAAGGGTAGTTCTAGCAATTTTTGAAGCCATGAAAGGTACTTTGTGATTAAAGTAGAACCATAGAAAACAAAATTGCATTTAAAGGATTGCATTTAAAGGTTACAGCAAGTTCAATCGATTTGACATGTTCTACTGTAGAATCTTAGACCTGAAACTAGTAGAATATAACTGTGAAGTTCAATCATAAGGCTTGGTCAAGGACTGACAAGCATGGGTGGAAAAACTACAGCTTTCAGAAGGTTGTAGCTAAGAATCCTACAAGACAAGATGACTGAAACCATGGTAGAAAAAAAAAAGAAAATTTGCATTAAATTATTAATGCTTTTGAATCCATCAAACTAAGTTGTGCCAGCATGCCAACTTGCATATGTATTCCAGTAAATCAGGAGAAACATGCTGATCATGAGATCAGAAATAAAAAGAAATAGTTAACAAAGCGTATAATCATAATTAGCTATTAAAAGCTTACCTTCTCAAAATAAGTTGCAGGAGGAGGTATAACACCTCCTGCTCCCATCACAGGCTCAGCAATAAATGCAGCAATCTGAGATGAACAAACTTGCTAGGTCAGCTACACAAACAAGTGCCCTCTAGTTGCAATAGGATTCCCATCTCAAGTTAAAACATTTTAGGTGGCATTACCGTCTCTGGACCCTCTTTAAGAATAAGATTTTCTAAATTGTTGGCTAATCTGGTTGAAAACTCCTCCTCCGTCTCACCTGAGACATGAATAAAGATGGCTATCATTCTAAATGTTCAAAAGTACATCTCAGGAAAGATTGGTAAAATTGAAAACCTTCTAGATGATAGCGCCAATAATGAGGGCAGTCAGTGTGCAACACGAATGGAGCTGGCAGGTCAAACTTTTGATGTAGCGCAGGAAGTCTGTAATGGTAATCTAATTGTTAACAACTCAAGGATTTCAAACACTAAGTAAAAACATTTTTACCAATAAAGTAACTTTTACCCAGAAAGACTAGCTGATATCAAAGTTGAACCATGGTATCTGGAGAAATTTAAAGAAAGAGAAAGGATGATAAGGATTCCATAAATAACACAAAGAGAAGCACAGAAGAACAGTATTGATTGAGTAGCAAATTTTACGATTTTGCTCGAGCAATAAATTTCTTCTTATTTGGTTTTCCAAGTGCATTATTATAATACCAAACAAGCTTCACCTACATATAATTAATTCAGAAAATCAAACATTAGCAAGCACCAACTTCACAACATTTTCAGTTTATATCAATCATCAAATTATACACATTACAGATATGAATGCCAGTAAAGACAAAAAATTTAAATAGTAATCGATTATAAAAACAACCTGTGTATCATTTGCTTCAGATCCACTGTTTGTAAAGAAGACTTTTGCCATTTTGCTTGCAGTAAAAGTTTCAAGAAGTTCCTTAGCAAGATCCTGTAAGATCAATATTTTTAGAAGATA